AGGTCCAGATCCATGCCTTGTACCTCAGGTCCCAGTGTGTACAGTCACAGGCCTGTTGGATGTAGTCCTTTGAACGTGTTTATGTTTATCAATTCCTTCTGCGGATCACTATGTTTGAGTAAGGCATTGGCTTCTCAGAACCAGTTTTCACCTGGAAATAACCACTGATATGGGGAATGGAGAAACAGTAAAGTCTCTGGTGCTTTAAAATGTATACAGCCTGGATTCCATGTGATACGCAGCAGTGCAGCGTATCCAGCTTTAAAATCATCCTGTCTTTTCTAGTGATGGATCCCTGATTCAGATTGCTCCGTAACACTGGAGTTCAGGCCTATATATGATTTACTGTCATCATAAAGAAAAATAAGTAACTAGGCTTTGTTCAAGTGTCTTCTACATAGTAGGTGCAAGTCACTTCTAACAAAGTCGCCGTCTTACCCATATGAGGTTGGAGTGCAGCCTAATACCTGAAAGGGTGGTTAGGGGGAATTTACCTTGCATTACAGTGTTGTCAGTAGCAATACAACGGATAAGCTGAATTTATTTGTGTTAAACATGCATGGATATTGAGTAAATGGAAACCACAGCTTAGGAAGAACTGAATATACCTCACAGCTGCTTGAAAAGGCTCTTGGTTTCACTTGAGTGTTCCTGGTCTAAGCCACACATTATCCGTCTCCAGTGAGGTTGTCTGTCTGGGCTTCCTAGCAGGAAGTACCTGTAAAATGGTGGCGCCCGCTGGCTGAGACACCAGTCCCATTCAGTGACGCAGGCAGCAACAGATGATTCTTGTTTGCTCTCAATGAATTATTTGTGGGTGTGGAGTTAGAGCCAGACTGACAGATCTGGAGGCCAGAGCTCTCAATTTATCCCTGAATTGGGTACAGCAAAGGTAACATCAGTGCAGGCTACTCCACATGGCACAAGCGTGCTTTCATCCTGCTTGGAGGGGTCAGTGCTTGCAGCATTCTGTTCTTGGGCTTGCTGCGGAGGCTGAAAGGAGGAATCCCCCATTGGTCCCAGTTGTAACACCCTGGATTATTTGGTAATGTGTCCAGTTGGAAGCATGTCACAGAGGCCACTCGGCAGCCCTTGCTTCTGCTTGGTCACTATTAATCTGGGCTGTATTTGTACCAGAGAGGTGAGACAGTCCGTGTCCAATCACCAGGCCTCTTGTGAGCCAGCCAGTGCCCAGGGCTGCGCTGTTTTGAAAACCTTCTCTCAAAATGTAACCATTTGGGGACAGATCTTCACCTGGTGTAAGCAGGCACAGTTCCATGGTGATCAGTGAAGCTGCCTTAGTTGACATAGAGATATGGCCCTATGGGCAAAGCTGCTGAGCGAGAGGTTCCTCAGCAATAATGCCAGCCTGATTCTGACTATATGTATGGCACTGGACAAGTCACTTAGGTGTCTGAATTCATCCCTTTGTAATGGCAGACAACGTTCTTTGGGTGAATCTGATAGCTTTTATTAGACCAACTTAAATAGTTGGAAAACAATTATTAAGCAAGCTTTTGGGTTCAAAAACCCTTCGTCAGGCTAAGGAAGTTGCTGCAGTTGGTGTGTGCTCTTCCTGGATGGGATGAAAAGTAAAGAAGCCAGAGGCTGGTCACTGACTACCTGTCTTGTATGCATACCAGACCAGCCTGTGGCTTCTTTACTTTTCATTTCATCCAGGAAGAGCACACACCAACTGCAGAAACTTCCTTAGCCTGACGAAGGGTTTTTGAACCCGAAAGCTTCCGACCCTAGAAACTATGAAACTATAATAATTGTTTTCCAACTATTTAAGTTGGTCTAATAAAAGCTATCAGTTTCACCCAAAGAACGTTGTCTGCCTATGTCCTTAGACCAACACGGCTACAACCTACATCCCCCTATAATGTGCTCTTAATGCCTGTCACTCAGGGGAGCTGTGGGGCAAGATATGCTAAGTAACTCGCTTTTATGCACGTGCATTCATCTTATGGATGCTGACTTGCTACGTGACTGCATCAGCTAAGCAATCTGCAGTCCTCTTCAAATGATGCAGCATTGTCAAGAGATGGAGGGGCTCTGCCTACAAGCAGCTGCTGTTCCTCTGAACCCTGTCTGAACACCTGGGACACCACTTATTGCAAACTGCAGTGTATCCTCATCTCAGCTAAACCCACATTTACCCACTGTTACTGTGACTGGCTTGGCCAAAGACTCTTTGAACTGAAGGGGATGTTATTTGTATTGTGCACAGCCTCCCATCATCCCAGTCCTCCTTTGGTTGTGCCCGTCTGGATCATTTCCATTGTCACTCATAAGACCGTGGCAGGTTGTGGTCTCTGGTTGTTTCGTGTCCCCAAGAGCTTTGGTCACTGACTTGGGGAACTGATCCTCTTATAACATGTGTAAGCGGCAGCAGCAAGGTCCTCAGCTGCTGCAGTCCAACACAACTCCATGGACTTCAGCACCCTCTCTGGTGCTATGCTGATCTATACCAGTGGTACCTGGCCCAGCGAATCTAGTGCTGTCAGAAAGTGCTGCATTGCTTTGTAGCCTGGAGCTCTTGGTTCACAAAGAATGTGCAGCAAGGCATGTTTCCCCACACTGACCTGTGCCTCAGACTTGACTGAGAAGAACTGTCTTCAGAGAGAGCAGACAACTGAGTTGAGTCCCCTGTCCCTTCCCCCCTCGCTCCCCCAGCCCACACAGGTGCTAGCTAGTGTCAACCGTATTGATTGCTCTTTATGATGAGGGAATATGAATCAAGTGCCTCAACCCATTTCACATCAGCCAGTACAGAGAGAGCAGAGGCTCTTGGTCTCTTCAGACATAAGCCTTGTTCAGAGAGACTGTCTCTTGTTACAACCCCCCCTGAGCAATTAAGTAAGGGCTAAGCTGCTTGAGGCTCAGCCATGGCTCCAGCCCCACACGTCTGTCTCCAGGAGATATGTGCTGGCTGAGCCTGGCAGAGGCTCCATGTCCTTGGTGGTGTTCCTTGTCCAGGAGAGCACTTTGTTTCAGAATTCTTGTGTGTCCTGCATCCTACAGCTGCATTGAGTCTCACTAGCTTTCTGGGTGCCAGAGGAAGGGTTGATCTGGAATAAAGCCATGTATAGATGCTCAAGTCTAGCATCAGGGACTAGCCTGCCTGGAGCTGTGCAGGAGTTGCTTGTATCCTGGCGTATTACACTTGAGGGGACCCCACGGGGTTGTAATCCCAGTTCTGACTCTGGCACTGAAGAAGGCATGGCCGCACAGCAGCTGCCTCAGTAACAAATTCCCATGCAACCTAGGCCAGAGGAGTTGGTCAGTCTCCTGGACTGAAAAGGACTCTTGGTCAGTCATGGTGGGTAGCTAGAGCAGGGGAAGGCCTGGGCTCTCTTCCTGCCCTCGTTCTCTGCCTCTATCATTCTTCCTTGCCCTTTTTTGCCTTTTTCTGCTCCTCTCTTCCCCCAGTGCTCAGCTAAAATAGTAACAATAGATCTGTGCAAAGAGAAACCTCTCCTGTTTTTTCCTGCTGTGACATTTGACCCCAGTACTCTTTCCTGCCCATGGCAGGGGGTCAGACTTGATGATCTGCTCAGGTCCCTTCCAACCCTACCAACTATGAAATTATGATGGTAGCCATTGGACTCAATGGACACTGTGTGGTTTGGACTCGGAGGATACTGATCTCTTGCTATGTGATCGGGCATATGAGTTTTATAGTTCTGACTCATGCCTTGTACCTGGGGCCTGGAAGAAAGCTCACTCTCTTCTTCCATGGGTTGCACTAACCTCCCAGTCTGTCTCAAGAGCATCCCTCTGTTGCCTGAGGCCACATCTGTTCCTCCCTTAATTTCTCTTTCTCACTACTATCAGATCCATCAGCCCATAAGGAGTCCAGTGGGACATCAGGACAGACCACAGGATCTATCCATTTGATACCAGGTGCATAGGCTGATTTATACATGCGTGATCATGCTTGTCCCTTGCTCCTGGTTGCTAAAAGAGAACTGACTAGAGCAGGGGTGGGCAATTATTTTGGCTGGAAGGCCACTTAACGAGTTTTGGTGAGCTGTCGAGGGTCTCAAGGGTAGCTCTGCCCTTGATTGATACCCCACCCCCTGTCACCATCTTGGGATTGGAAGTCCTACTCCCTGACCCCTGACCTTTGCCACCAAAAATCCCTCCCCTTACATCACTGATCTGACCTAAATACACCCAGTTCTAATGTTGGCACCCTCCTTAGTAGATTAGCCAAAGTGGCTTGTGGTTTCCATTCACTGGCCACTGATCCATGCCATCCTGGCCCAGCCATTTCCAGAGAGGACCAGCCACACTATGGCACCCCACAAAAAAATGCTTAGAGCACTGTCTTTGCAGCCTGGTGGGCACACCACTCATCATGAAGGTAGAGGACCTTCCCCAAGGCAGTGAAAGTTTGGTCCCCTTGGCCCATTCCCCCCTGGCCACTACCAATAGGTGGAGTTGTGGTGCGGCTTTTGTAAGATGGACTCTTTTCTATTGGGAACTGGACTGGGATCTCCAAAGTCTTTCTCTGTTGACCAGGAGAGGGACCAGAATTCAGGTAATTGTTGACAAGGGCAAGCTTTGACATGATTACTACCGCTACTAGTGCCAGAGCAGAGCAATAACCAGCCAGTTTGTTCCCCACTAACAGTACTTCAGCTGGAAGTATTTTCTAGCACAAAGCCTGTCTTGAGTTGATCTGTTCTAGGAAAGGCTCCACAAGGGCTCTGGCTGGCTGGAGGGGCTGGGCTTTGGTTTAGCAATGTCAGCAAGCTCTGTGATAGAATTCCTTTTTGGTAAAGCCTTGTTCCTGCTCTTTGCTTATATGGTGGGCCAGTTGGGGGTGCTCCTGTGCTGTGCCACTCACCTCACTGTGCCTGACCACCTTCCAGCTGCCAGAGTCCCTCCAAGCTGGGGTCCTCTAGAGCCTCCTGCTTGAGCTCCTCTTGTCTGGCTAAGCAGTCAGCAGGGAGTTCTGGTGCTCCTGTAAGGAGTGCACTCTCACCCACGGGGGTGTCCTCTAACTCCTCCCCGAGAGTCTTGGTTTCCTCCACCACTGACTGACCGGGCTCCTCCCTGGGGCTGTCACTTAACCCAACCTTGAGGTTGCCAGTTTCCTCAGTGGCTGGCAGATGGCTGCAGTCAGGGGGAGTCTCTCCCTTCTCCTCCTCTGCAGCCAATTGGGTGACTGGGCTCTGGGAGGTTTCCACTCCTTCCACCTTAGCCTTTCTGCTCTGTTGACGAGTCACTACATTAACACGGTAGGGCTATATGAAGTGGTCCCCTGCCCTTTGCAGGTATTCGAGCTCCATAATATCCCACCCTATCAATATGGGGACAGGAGCCTCTTCCAGCACTCCCAGTTCTATGCACATCTTGCAGCCTCTCAACTCGATGGGGAGACGGGTTACCAGTACCTCAAATGACTGGGGCCCCACCCCTTGAATGGTAAGGGTCCTACCCAGGACTATATCCACAGACAAAACAAGGTTGGTGTTGATTAATGACACACTGGCCCCTGTGTCCAGCTCCCCGACAAGGGGTTCTCCCATTTACCATTATCTCAGTCCGGTGGGTGGCCATCGCCTCCTCTGGATTTGTAATCCTATAGCAACAGGTACACTCCTCAGAGTGGTTCGGGTCTCCCTCCCCATTGCTTACAGCTGTTGCACAGCTGACTGGCTTGGGCTTGTTGCTTATCTTTGGGCAGTTGAGCCTGATGTGGCCTGGCTCCCCACAGCTATAGCAACCCCTCTTTTCCGAATTGGGTCATTTGTCCAAATCTGGGGCTGCCTTGCACTCTGCAGGAGGTGGTCCCCTTTCCCATTTTGGGCCTGGCCCTCCCTTCCCCGCTTTGTGGAACCCTTTCTGTTCCTTCCCAAAGTGGGGAGCTCACCTGTTCAGTTCCTCTCGATTTAACAACATCTGCTCAGCAATGGTAGCCACCTCCCTGGCAGTTTTGGGATTCCTGTCTTTAACCAGGTGTCTAATGTCTCTGAGGCACTTGAAATAGAATTGGTCTAGGACCACAAGTGCATCCACCTCCTTCACAGTGTAAGCTTTTTTCCCCTCCTTCCATTTCAAGCATAAATCCTCCAACTGAGCTGCAAGCTCATTTAAGGATTGTCCTGGCAGTGGGTTACTGTTATGGAACTTTTTCCAGAAATGATCTGGCCCCAACCTATACCTTTCAAACACTGCCTCTTTACAGGCATTATAGTCATTCACTGACTCGGAGGGTGGGCTGTTCAGGATGGAAGACATGGTGCCTGTCCACCAATACACCTCATGTAATTCTGTTCTTTGAAATTCCATCGACATGCTTCGTTTTCAAAATTGACCAGAAACATTGATGGATCATCCCTATCTTTGAACTGGGGAAAGGTCGCGGTTTTCAATTTGGGTGGTGCCACTGGCACTGGCGGAGGTGAATTAATCCGGCTTCTGGTTTCATGCTGCTTTTGAAGTAGTTCAAGTGCATGCTTGTGCTTGAGCCTTGCCTCTTCAGCCTCCACCTTGCACTGGGCCTCACTCTCTTCATGCTGGCAATGGGCCTCTTCATGCTGGGCCGCCTCCTCTGCCATCTCCAGCTCCATCCCCTTCAGCTCTAGCTCATGCTTGAGCTTATGCTCCTCAGCTTCTAGCTGCAGCTGGTATTTCCAGAAGTCCCACTCCCAGGATGCCCCTTGCCCCGAGTGGGTTCTGGATGGGCGCACAGACGTGATCTGGAGGTCTGATCACTATCACACAAGGACTTATTCAGTTCTTCTTTTCTTGGTCTTTCCTCACTGAAAGGCCTTTCACTTTCAATGCCTCTCTCAGGTTGGCCACGGACATGTGGTCATGCGTGTCAACCATCCTAGCTAGCTACACTGTCCAGCTGACCCAATGCCAAATTTGAGATGGTTTGCTCAAGGGTTTTCAGTGATTCTATTCCCTTCCCCAAATTATGCCTTCAAGACAGCAAGCTGTCAGATCCCACCACTAGCACCACGTGTGGCAGGTCAGTAGGGAGTGCTCCTGCGTTAAGCCACCAACCTCACTGTGCCCAACCACCTTCCAGGCTCCGAGTGCCTCCTCCCTGGGGGCACCTCACGTCTGGCCGACCCCCATTCTGGAGCACATCCGCCAGCCTGGATGTAACACTGCCACCCCTCGTGAGACTCAATCTGTTAGTGGCTCTGTGCCTCGTGAGGTACACAGGCTTTATAGACCTGAAGGGAGTACTCATCCCACTGCAGGAACTCGGGGTGCTTCCCTTAGTCTGAAAAAAATAGTGGTCTCCCTGAGTCAGACCAAGGGGACCCCAAGGCATAATCTAGACCCTCTCCCAGTAAGTCTCCCATGGTAGGTACAGAGGAGAACTTTGTTGATTACAGGAAGTAGGTTTGGAATAGGGTACAGGGTAGAGCAATATCAGAGAAATACCTTAGAGCAAACGGGGTGTCTGGGTAGCCTTGGATCATGCATCTGTGTTACTGCAAGCTATATACAGGCAGTCTTACAATACAATTGGTTCTTGAAAACTGCCTCTTAAGTTGAAACGTTATAACTCAGAACCAATTTTCTCATAAGAAACAATGTTATAAATGGGGGATTGTTTCCTGAACCAAGGCCTGATACTCTGTTTTCACAAAAAATACCCCAGAATTTTGTACTCGATCAATTATAGATGAGTAATATAGTTACATTAATGTATTTATATTGTAAATAGCAATCATATTGATTTGGAAGGACTTCTTTGAAGTGACTTTGCTGGACCTTTTGAAGGGCTCCTGGTTGGACTTTTTGAAGGGTTCTTGGCTGGAGTCTTCTCGGGAGTCTTGGCTGCAGGTTTTTCTGGAGTCTTGTCTGCTTTCTTAAAGAAAGTGTCCAAGGAAGTTTGGACAGATGTTCTCCAGGGAGATGAGTGACACAGCCAGCTTGTTCACTGGCGTGGCATCGCATCAGATCAAGTGTTGTAAACTCGAAACTGCTGTCATAAAGTTTCATAGTTTCTAGGGTCGGAAGGGACCTGAGCAGGTCATCTAGTCTGACCCCCTGCCATGGCAGGAAGAGCACTGGGGTCAAATGACCCCAGTAAGGTGGTCATCCAACCTCCTCTTAAAAACCCCCAGGGTGGCTCC